GTGGAACTCCGGTCAGAGTTAAACACCAACATAATGTATGAAGAATCGCAAACACATGAGCAAAACTGGGAAAAATTTAAAAGCACTCTTGATTGTGCTGTTAAGAAGTTCATCCCTAAAATTAAAATTCGTATAAATCAAAACAAAATGCCAATGAGACCCGAAGTGAGAGATGCAGTTCGTGAAAAAAATATATGGAGAGATGTCAGGAGAGATAAAACACAAGAAAATTTTGAAAAATACTCGAAGGCTCGAAACAAAGTCAGGAAACTGACACGGAACTGTGTTCGAATACATGAAGAAGATATATCAAAAAGCATAAAACAGCAACCTAAAAAGTTTTGGAACTATGTAAACAAAAAAATTAAATCCACTGAGACGATACCTGCACTAAAAATTAGCGATAATAATTGGGCAAAGACTAGCAAGGAGAAAGCGACTGCCCTGTCTGATTTCTTCATTTCAGTTTTCACCATAAGGACACCTGGCAGCTTGGATTTAAAGGATCTCCAAGAGCAGCAAATATCAGATGATCTATATCTCTCTAAAGAGGTAATACTACATGAATTTGCAGCGTTAGACACCACCAAATCGATGGGAGCTGACAAGATTTTGAACGAATGCCGATTTGAATTAGCTGAATTACTGTGTTCTTTAATGCAAAACTCCTGGGATAAGGGAGAAATACCCAACGATTGGAAATGCGCAAATATAACAGCGATTCACAAAAAAAGACGCAAAAATTGTCCCAAACAATTACCGACCTGTTAGCCTCACATCAATTTGTTGCAAAATATTGGAAAAAGTGATAAGAAGACACCTGTTTGACTTTTTGACAAAAAACAACATCTTATCAGACAAACAGTATGGTTTCTTACCAGGTCGATCAACGACTCTCCAGTTATTAAAAGCGCTCGTTGACTGGACTGCGGAACTGGACAAGGGTTTTGAGGTAGACATAGTATACATTGACTTTCAAAAAGCTTTTGATAGCGTTCCCCATAAAAGACTATTGAACACAATATCCAAATATGGGATCAAAGGGAAAACTTTAAACTGGATCACAGTATTCTTAACGGATAGGAGGCAACGAGTAGTGGTAAACGAAAGCTTTTCGGAGTGGGCACCAATTGTCAGCGGAGTCCCACAAGGATCTGTCCTGGGACCAATACTTTTTTTGTTATACATCAACTCGATGACGGATGGCATTACATCCCCTATGCTTCTATGCGCAGATGACGCCAAAGTATTCAGATCAATTACTGATGTGACTCAAGAGGAAAAACTATAATCTGACCTGAATGAAATTTCCAAATGGGTTAAAAGCAGTTTAATGAAGTTCAATCTGACAAAATGTCATACACTCACCCTAACGGGAAGAACGAAACAATCTGAACGGAACTATACCCTAAATGGTGGAAAACAACTAAGCAAAGTTGAATCAGAGAAAAATCTGGGAGTTATCGTTGATTCAAGACTATAATACCGTGAGCACATCGCCAAAAAGACGAAATTGGCAAACAGTATAGTCGCGATAATCAGGAAAAGTTTTGTAAACCTGACTTCTGAAATTCTAACGACCCTGTACAAAGCCTTAGTAAGATTACATCTGGAGTATGCAAATCAGGCATGGAATCCATACCTTAAAAAAGACAAAATTACGATTGAAAATATTCAGCGACGCGCAACGAAACTTGTTCCAGGTATACGCAAATACAGCTACTCGAAACGACTTCAGATTTTGAAACTACCAACACTCGAGTATAGACGCAAACTCGGTAGAATGATTGAAGTCTTCAAACTTCTGAACGGTCTGTACGATACAGCAGCGACTGAAAGATTTTTTAGAATCAACGAAAGATACACAAGAAGAAACCCTTTCAAGATTGTGACCAAGAAGACCAGAACTACTGCTAGACAAAATTTCTTTACAGTTGCAGCCATCAACGACTGGAATTCGTTACCCGAAACAGTAATATCAAGCGAGAGTGTACACGTTTTCAAATCAAGACAAGACAAACTATGGGCGTCTGAAATATTTGACGCATCGTTTATGGAATGACAAAATGGACGTCCAAGAAAGAGCTGGTCGACAGAGGCCTACAGATCAGAAGTTAACCTGTGAACACGACTTGAAAGTTCTTTGGAAACAGGTGATTTGAGGGACGGCAAACACGTTCTCAGTTTCGTCGTAGTAAAAACAACGTTTATTCCACTGCACTTCCGAACGCGTTTGCTCAATTGATGTGATATCTTCCCTCGATACTGCAACAGCATTAGTGGAGGCGTAGATCATTTATCGCCTGGATCAAGACGTGCAACAGTCTGCGTTTCACCGACCGTTTCTGATGATCTTCTCCAGAGTCTCCCGTATGATCGGTTCATAGAAAACTGGGGGATACTGGTTGTTCTCCAGTTGAATCTTGAATTGTCCAAGTGACGACTCAAAAGTCGGCAAAGTGGACGTCGCGTTGAAAATCCGGTGCACTGTACCTTCCACAATATTTCGTATGTACTTGGTGGGAGCAAGTGCATGCAAATTTGTCACCGGCCAAGCTGTTTAGACGTTACGTGGAAGACATTATTCGTACCGCCAGACAGTCGGAGATTGATAACCTCTTGGAACGTGCGAACAAGCTGGATCCTGATCACCTCCAGTTTACCATGGAGAAGGAGCCGGATGGCGTTTTACGTTTTCTGGACATCAAGATAGTGCGGACTGGGTTTTCTTGTGTTACGGATTGGTATAACCAACCCACTGACACCGGCTTGTTTTTGAATTTTCATGCACATACTCCCACCAAGTACAAACGAAATATTGTGGAAGGTACAGTGCACCGGATTCTCAACGCCACGTCCACTTGGCCGACTTTTGAGTCGTCACTTAAACGATTCAAGATTCAACTGGAGAACAACCATTATCCCCCTATTTTCTATGAACCGATCATAGTGGAGACCCTGGAGAAGATCATCAGAAACGGTGAAACGCAGACTGTTGCACGTCCTGATCGAGGCGATAAACGATCTACGCGTCCACTGTTGCTGTTGCAGTATCGAGGGAAGATATCAGATCAATTGAGCAAACGCGTAAGAAAGTGCAGTGGAGTTAACGTTGTTTTTACTACGACGAAACTGAGAACGTGTTTTCCGTCCCTCAAGTCGCCTGTTTCCAAAGAACTTTCAAGTCGTGTTGTTTATCAATTTGAGTGTTCGAATTGTCAGTCCCGCTACGTCGGCCAGACGGCTCGACACTGCAAAAGACGACTGTCTGAACTTTTGATGCCTTCCGCGCCAGTTGCCAGACACCTTCATGATTGTTGCGGGATGCAGGCTTACGAAACTTCTGTTCTCGACCGAAGCAGTGACATACTAAAACTGGAGACCCTGGAAGCTGTCTATATTGAAAAACTCAAACCGTCTCTGAATACCAAGGAAAAATAGCGCAGGCGCCCCCTCATCAAGCTATGATGCATCTTGTTCTGCATGTGTGGATACTACCCACCTCAGAATAGATTTAGTATGTGTTTTTTTGTTTGTTTTCTCTTTTCTTCATTTGATGTTTTTGGTGCTTTTTTGAAGCTCTATTTTTTTGTGTTTTAAGATGCTGATGATGAGCGATAGCTCGAAAATACTCCTTATTCAACATTGATCAACGCTGTTTTCTGATATTCACCCATTAATGTTCATTCCGTGGAAACTTTTCTTTAGAATGTTTATATTAAGTCGTGGGCAACTTAAATAGCTGAACATTTAATGCATCATCATCAAGTTGAAACATCTGATCTTACGCGTCCTTCCTCATGCGACATTTTTGTATATGTCATTTATTTTAATTTCAAGTTCTTGGTCGATAAGTTTCCAGGGGTCGAAGGGGGCTGTAGTGATTGCTGGGGTGATGGATCAGATTGTGTTGCGTTGGGCAGTGCGTTTGTTTCAGGTGTTGCCGGTGATGTTTATTTTTGAGTTGTAATGGGGGCTGTGCTTGTTGGTCTGTTTGTGGAATTAAGCCCTTTTGCAAAGTTCTCGGGAGTGCATTTTATGCAGGAGAACCCATCGTATCAAAATTTGTTGCTCTGTAGCCCGCTACATGAGACATGGATGTATGCTTTGCAAATGACACACCATATGCCTCCTTTTCGGAGGGGCGTTTGTAAATATGGCAGTGTGTTTGATCGGCCTTAATTTGGCAGCGAGGAGGGTAAATTTATTGTGAATATATACGAGTTAGCTGAGCGAGCAATAAACGGAAAATTTTATTGCCATAAAAAGAAAAATGAATACCATCTTTACAAAACATATTAGCACTAAAATTTACGTTTAGATTGGGGGAAATGATTCGAATTCTTGAGTGGTAAAATGTATTAACAAGGCGAAACAAAGAGTTATTTAAAGCACCAAGTTTTCTGTTTATGAAGTGATTATTTGCAGAGAGGATGGTTTTGGTGATAAAAAGCACATTTGGGTTAAACTTATGAATTATCAAATTTATTAAAAATCTCCAATCATTAGCAAAGTCTGAAACCGTAGATGAGTTATCATTAAAGCCTGCTACTATAGTTACACAGTTCAATTTCTGCGAGGGATAGCGCGAGACAGTAGCGGCAAGGTCGGCTAGTTTTGCACCTCTGTACGAGTGAACTGTGGCTCCGACATCTTTGGGGCTGCAGTACTTGGTCCTCGAGGTTCTTATTATCAATTTCCTGCTCCACTTATGTAGCCACTTCGGCCTGTACTTCGGCACGGACATTCACTAAACAGGGTACAAAAGGGACAAAACAAGAGAAAGAATAGATTATTAAATGGATAATAAAGAAATAGATTTAAAAAACACATAAAAAACTGAAAGCGATTACAACCTGGTTTTTCACGGGTGGAGGATCCGGCGGGGAGGTCCGGGTAGAGGGGGTGTATCGCGGCTTGACGAGCTTGTCTCTAAAATTCCGTACCGGGCCTTCTTCCTACAAGTGTACCATTATAAGCGTATCATATCACATGAAACTATTTAATAAGTTTACCACAACAATTAGGCTAAACTAGCGGTCCTCCTGCGTAGTTACGGTCAGTCAAAAAGATGCATAGGGCCATACCAGCATTTTTTATGCATCAAAACGCTTTAAAATGTTAGAAAACAACGTTGATCAATGTTGAATTAGGAGTACTTTCGAGCTATCGCTCATCATCAGCATCTTAAAACACAAAAATATCGAGCTTCAAAAAAGCACCAAACACGTCAAATGAAGAAAAAAGTAAACAAACAATAAATCTATTCTGAGGTGGATAGTATCCACACATACAGAACAAGATGCATCATAGCTTGATGGTGAGGCGGCGCCTGCGATACTCTTCCTTGGTATCCAGTGACGGTTTGAGTTTTTCACTATAGAGAGCTTCCAGGGACTCCAGTTTTACTATGTCACTGCTTCGGTCGAGAATAGAAGTTTCGTAAGCCTGCATCCCGCAACAATCATGAAGGTGTCTGGCAACGGGCGCGGAAGGCATCAAATGCTCAGACAGTCCTGTTTTAAGGTGTCGAGCTGTCTGGCCGACGTAGCCGGCCTGACAATTAGAACACTCGATTTGATAAACAACACTCAATGGAATGCGATAACTGCGCCCAACATTTATGAGCAAATTGCTTAAAAATGCCACCGGGAGCTTACAAATTCATGTCTAAAAGTAAGGGCATATGGTGTTGTTACACATCAACACCCGAAGTGAAAAGCATAATTAAGGGTGCAACCGCTCCAAAAATGAATCCGGAGATAACTAAAATGAGGAACGACCTGGATAAGACGGTTGATTCCGCGAAGAGTCTAATGGAGTACTTCTACTACTTCATGAATGGATAATTTTGGAAGCTGGAGCAGATCAAAAACGGGAAAAAGAAGAAGACTTAAGAAGGAAAAAGAATCTTGTTATGCACAAAGCCCCCGAAAGCCAGTCAAGGGACTCAAAAGAACGTTATAATGAAGACATGTCATTAATCCAGCAAATATGCTCTAGCATAGAAATGGAACCAACTAAAGTTAAAAACTGTACCCGACTAGGCAAAACCCCTGATCAAGAGATCAGAGCGAGGCCCCGCCCACTGAGAATCACTCTAGACTCACCGGAGGACGCGGAACTCATGATGAAAAATTTGACAAAACTGAAGTTTGCCGAAGACAAAATCAGACAACCAAGAGTCACTCCTGATAGGAGCATGAAAGAGAGAGAAAATGTCCGTTTTCTAGTGCAACGGGCAAAAAACTTAACACCAGAGGAACCCGGGAAATTCATACACATTGTCAGAGGGAACAAAATCATTAGAGTAAAGAAAAGTATTGCAAAAAACAACGCCGGAAACAGAGAACATTTTGAGCTCTGGTTCGTAAATGTAGACACATTAACTCCTGATGAATTCATTGAACTACAAGTACTACTACAACTAGCAAATATGTTACCACACATCATTGCCCTAACTGAAGCGAAACCCAAGAATTCTGTAATCTTGTGGAACCCATTTTGGCACAAACTCGACTGGTACAATTTAAAACAAAAAAACATGAATCCGAACGAGAAGGGGAGAGGCATGTTGTTTTATATTCGAAAAGACATCGATTACAAGGAAATAAACGATGAATCTGGATTTGAGGAACTGCAAGTATACAATCTACTGCTAACAAAGAGAAGTTGTGATAGCTTCAACCTATCGGAGCCCATCATCTACCCCCGAAAACAACTACAACCTTAACAGCTTCTTAAGAAGCATTGGATCCAACCGTTCTAGATACATTGTACTGGGAGACATGAATTACAGAGATATAGATTGGCGATATTTCAGCACGAATCATGACGAGAACAGCAAGGAACACCAATTTTTTGAAGCGGTAAAAGATTCTTATCTCGATCAACACAATGCCTGTGACCAACGGTTGATAGACCATTGCATGTGACCAAAAACAACGAACCATCACTACTAGATCTCATGCTAGCCGACAAAACCCTGGAAACAACTGGCCTAGAATACATCTCCCCGCTGGGTAAGAGTGATCACAATAATCCAAGCAAAATTTGATCTCTGGACAACAAAGCGATGTAAAGAGAGACTGAATTACAACAAAGGGAGCCACGTGGAACTCCGATCAGAGTTAAACACCAACATAATGTATGAAGAATCGCAAAAACATGAGCAAAACTGGGAAAAATTTAAAAGCACTCTTGATTGTGCTGTTAAGAAGTTCATCTCTAAAATTAAAGTTCGTATAAATCAAAACAAAATGCCAATGAGACCCGAAGTGAGAGATGCAGTTCGTGAAAAACAAAAAATTTGGAGAGATGTCAGGAGAGATAAAACACAAGAAAATTAAGAAAAATACTCGAAGGCTCGAAACAAATTCAGGAAACTGACACGGAACTGTGTTCGAATACATGAAGAAGATATGTCAAAATGCATAAAACAGCAACCCAAAAAGTTTTGGAACTATGTAAACAAAAAAGTTAAATCCACTGAGACGATACCTGCACTCAAAATTAGCGATAATAATTGGGCAAAGACCGACAAGGAGAAAGCGACTGCCCTGTCTGATTTCTTCATTTCAGTTTTCACCATAGAAACACCTGGCAAAGTGGATTTAAAGGATCTCCAAGGGCAGCAATATCAGATGATCTATATCTTTCTAAAGAGGTAATACTACATGAACTTGCAGCGTTAGACACCACCAAATCGATGGGAGCTGACAATGTTTTTCCAAAGATTTTGAACGAATGCCGATATGAATTAGCTGAATAACTGTGTTCTTTAATGCAAAACTCCTGGGATAAGGGAGAAATACCCAACGATTGGAAATGCGCAAATGTAACAGCGATTCACAAAAAAGACGCAAAAAGTGTCCCAAACAATTACAAACCTGTTAGCCTCACATCAGTCTGTTGCAAAATATTGGAAAAAGTAATAAGAAGACACCTGTTTGACTTTTTGACACAAAACAACATCTTATCAGACAAACAGTATGGTTTCTTACCAGGTCGATCAACGACTCTCCAGTTATTAAAAGCGCTCGATGACTGGACTGCGGAACTGGACAAGGGTTTTGAGGTAGACAGTGTACATTGACTTCCAAAAAGCTTTTGATAGCGTGACTATAATACCGTGAGCACATCGCCAGAAAGACGAAAGTGGCAAACAGTATAGTCGCGATAATCAGGAAAAGTTTCGTAAACCTGGCCTCTTAAATTCTAACGACCCTGTACAAAGCCTTAGTAAGAACACATCTGGAGTATGCAAATCAGGCATGGAATCCATACCTTAAAAAAGACAAAATTACGATTGAAAATGTTCAGCGACGCGCAACGAAACTTGTTCCAGGTATACGCAAATACAGCTACTCGAAACGACTTCAGATTTTGAAACTACCAACACTCGAGTATAGACGCAAACTCGGTAGAATGATTGAAGTCTTCAAACTTCTGAACGGTCTATACGATACAGCAGCCACTGAAGGATTTTTTAGAATCAACGAAAGATACACAAGAAGAAACCCTTTCAAGATTGTGACCAAGAAGACCAGAACTACTGCTAGACAAAATTTCTTTACAGTTGCAGCCATCAACGACTGGAATTCGTTACCCGAAACAGTAATATCAAGCGAGAGTGTACACGTTTTCAAATCAAGACCAAACAAACTATGGGCGTCTGAAATATTTGACGCATCGTTTATGGAATGACAAAATGGACGTCCAAGAAAGAGCTGGTCGACAGAGGCCTACAGATCAGAAGTTAACCTGTGAACACGACTTTGGAAACAGGTTATTTGGAAACAGGTGACTTGAGGGACGGCAAACACGTTCTCAGTTTCGTCGTAGTAAAAACAACGTTAATTCCACTGCACTTCCGAACGCGTTTGCTCAATTGATGTGATATCTTCCCTCGATACTGCAACAGCATTAGTGGAGGCGTAGATCATTTATCGCCTGGATCAAGACGTGCAACAGTCTGCGTTTCACCGTTTCTGATGATCTTCTCCAGGGTCTCCCGTATGATCGGTTCATAGAAAACAGGGTGATACTGGTTGTTCTCCAGTTGAATCTTGAATCGTTCAAGTGACGACTCAAAAGTCAAAAGTCGGCCAAGTGGACGTCGCGTTCAAAATCCGGTGCACTGTATCTTCCACAATATTTCGTTTGTACTTGGTGGGAGCAAGTGCATGCAAATTCGTCACCGGCCAAGATGTTTAGACGTTACGTGGACGACATCATTCGTACCGCCAGACAGTCGGAGATTGATAAACTCGTGGAACGTGCGAACAAGCTGGATCCTTATCACCTCCAGTTTACCATGGAGAAGGAGCGGGATGGCGTTTTACTTTTTCTGGACATCAAGATAGTGCGGACTGGGTTTTCTTGTGTTACGGATTGGTACAACCAACCCACTGACACCGGCTTGTTTTTGAATTTTCATGCACATACTCCCACCAAGTACAAACGAAATTTTGTGGAAGGTACAGTGCACCGGATTCTCAACGCCACGTCCACCGTCTCAAACCGTCTCTGAATACCAAGGAAGAATAGCGCAGGCGCCCCCTCACCATCAAGCTATGATGCATCTTGCTCTGCATGTGTGGATACTATCCACCTCAGAATAGATTTTCTTCAAATGACGTTTTTGGTGCTTTTTGAAGCTCGATTTTTTTGTGTTTTAAGATGCTGATGATGAGCGATAGCTCGAAAGTACTCCTAATTCAACATTGCTTCAACGTTGTTTTCTGATATTCACCCATCAATGTTCATTCCGTGGAAACTTTTCTTTAGAATGTTAATATTAAGTCGTGGGCAACTTAAATAGCTAAACATTTAATGCATCATCATCAAGTTGAAACATCCTGTGACCTTACGCGTCCTTTCTCTATGCTACTTTTTGAATTGTTGGTCGATAAAATCAATTGTTTCGAGGTATTTGCGCCCTGATGTGGAAAATAGCAACGCCGTGGAGTGCAAAGCTGATTTTGGTTTTAATATAGTTGATTGTCTCTGGGT